TTTCTTAGCAGTCTTTGCTGCTAAATCAAAGCACCACACTTCCCTCCATCTTTCACACACACCTGTTCTGTCAGCATTCCTGCACCACCGGGCTCTTGGGAAAATAAACCAGGAGAAGAGGAGAATCACATAAGCTATGGGAGAAGAATTGGGCAGACAGCTTCACATTTGTTTTAATTCACTACTCGTAGGTGCTTGTTAGTAATCTTTTCTTAAATTGAACATGCCCAGTAGAGTTCCTCAGTATTCTGATAAGGAGCTGGAAAGACCAGAAGGTAACTTCTCTCATTCAGCCTCACTGGAGCGCCACACAAAAACCTCCTCAGAGTTAATACAGCAACAGGTTAGTAAAGTAGCAGAAGAAGGATTCCCCTCACAGTGTGATCTGTCCCTCCAGGTTGCTGATGTTTGCAACAAATGTGGTTCTTTCTGTGGTAATTCTTCTAGCAATACTGAAATGCTGAAATGATTCATGAAGCCCCATACTGCCAGAACAATGTGCTGTGTTCTTGCTTGTCTCAGACACTCCATCATCCTCATCTGGTTTGGGTTGAAACAAAAGTGTGAGAGCATGGAGGGTAACTTGTAAGCAGACATAATTTATGACACACAACATCACAGAGCATGTGTCTGTTCTGGCGCATGTCTGCTAACAATCTGTGGCAAGCTATACGTTACAGATGATCTGTCATTGGAACTGCAATTGCATTAGTGTTTCAGAGAGATGATTCACTCTTGCCAATGGAAAACATACTTATGTCCTGAAGACCAGTCACAAAACAAAGCAAGCTTATATGTGGAGTCTGAGATACTGGAAAAGCTTCTGTTAGGACAAGCGTACAGCAGCTAAATAATTCCCCTTTTTAATGGTTATCCGAAATGTATATATAGTTCAGGTTTCAGCCATAGGTTACAGTTCGTTTTTTTGTCAATATGAGAAAACCTCAATCTAGTCAATCGGGCCTTTAAATTTTGGGATCTCTATACATTTTTCTGTGTTTATACACTCTTTCTGTCTCTCTGCATTTGTATGTCTGTATATTTTTTGAACATCAAGAAAATTCTCTGTTTTACCACAAATGTATATTTTCTACTACATATCCAAAAATCCGTAGATCTGTCACACATTTGGATATGTGTTCCAGATTCCTTGGGAAATCTGCATGCAAAACCTTGTTAACTGGTTGGAAATGAGGCAATCAACAATATGAGGTGTTTTGAAGAAGTTATTTTGACACAGCAGGAGTCATTAGTGGTGACTTTTAGCCAAGATAATAATGGTGTATAATATTACATATTGTTGCTGTTAGGATGGGGTTGGTCATAAATCTAGCAAACCAGATTATAATATTGTTTGAAGTACATTTTTTTATTTAAGATCCCTCTTAGCCAAATCTCCATTACTGTGATTTCACATGTGGGAAATCTTAAGTGTTATTTTCTTTCCTATATTTTATTCTGGACATTCTAATAGTATGTTATACAGTAATGTGCTTCATGTCAATGGAAGGGTTGCCTTTACCACCACAGTAATGAAAGGCAGAGTAACTGTCACAGTGCCTGGCTCAAAAATACTTTAGACACTGTGAATAGTATTTATTAGCATACTGCACAAACCACAAAACATAGCCACTCTTATAGAATTGGCGTCTTTCTCCAGATGAAGTTGAAACATCACTTTTTAAATTAGCTCACCATATGAAGCATCTCCAGATGCACAATCTCCCAGTCTCACTAATGGAATGGTACATCTTCCACTTCCTATGTTTTCCCATGTTGACTCCAGAGCTTGAAAATATTACTTTTTAAAAAATTACAATTACCAGAATCCCACAGCTAGCATTGTGACTGGTCTAAGAAAGTGGGTTTCCTACATTCTGGATTTTGTAACAGTTCATCTATTCTGTTTTCCTTAGAAAATCTGATGCATCGTGCTTTGGATTAGTAACGTTGGGAGCCCTTCATTTGGAACTACCTTCATTGATGTCAACATCTGACTAACTAAATTCGAATTCAGCTCTGTATCCTTTATCTATGAGATGAAAATGCAAGCAAGTTCAGGGCATATTTCCAAATTAAGTGGGCTCTAAAATAAATTCAGAGGTATCTGATTGATTGATTGATTGATTGATTGATTGATTGATTGATTGATTGATTGATTGATTGATTGATTGTATTTTTTTAGCCACACCATTACCAGTGGCCTCTTAATGCCATAGCTACGGAATATATTTGGAAAATGCTGTAATGTTTGTTTTTTGGATTATAATTCCAAAATTCTGTGGTCAGCATGGCCAGTGTCAATACTAGCTAGAGCAACTAGCTAGACCAACAAACTCTGGAAGTTATACATTAAAATGCTGTGTTCGTTCTTATGTAAGGAAGGTGAAATTATTTCAATGCTATGATAAAAATGTAATTGGAAAGGAAGACAGATCTACATTGCACAGTTTTGTTTGATTATGTCCTTGGTGGCAGATATTCTGTTTTTAACAAAAGCAACTTTGTTTGGAGTTCCTTGCAAGGGCGACTTTCCTGTCTCTGCCTTTACTGGAAAATGAGGGATTTTCCACTTCAGAGGAATGCTAATGTATTTTCCTTCCATCATTTTTAGAATGAGACACTTCCATTATTCCTTTTAATTGCAGTTAATAGTGCCAGGAAATTACTGATTTACATAATTCCCCAGTGAAGCAGTCAGAAAAAGGTCAAAATGGGACTTTATCTTATTGTGGGCAGGAGCCTTCACAATATAGATGTGTTTTTACTATATTAACCATTCCAGTTGCATGTTAGGCATGGAAAACATCCATACTATTCATAAATTCCCTTTTGAACATGTAGAGATCATTCTCTTCTTACACTTACATAGGCCTGCACACCATCTCCTTGTTTGCAGGGGCAGACTGTGCAGATACACAGCAATACTCGTATATTCCCTTGCTACTAATTTGTCTGTGCCTTGAGTACTGAAAAATAGGTTCACAAGGCTCTGAGCCAGGGTCACTTTATTTTTATGGTATACTATATCTCCCACAATACTTTGCACTAAAACCAGTTCATAAAGCCAAGTAAACGTAGTAAATATAATTACAGCATACAAATAGGTCACTTAGCATTCATATTACATTTCAACAGCTTAAACAAGACTATAACACAACAATAGGTCAGTTAACAAGATCAAATATCAAGGGTATAAAGCCAGGAGTCTGGTCAGAGAGGCATGCATCTATGGAAGCATGGATAGGATTGATTGTAGCCATAATTTGTGTTTGTGTTATCTGCAGTTGTGTGTGCGTGACTCTTGAGATGACTCAATTGCAAGAGCAGTTAACCTACTGTATATATATTTTAATCTAATCACTTTGCACATGCTCTTGATTGGTAATTTCTGAGGGACTCAGTTATAAAGGAGGCTTGGTCCAACTTCGCCTCACAATTTCTGAGGATACTCCACCCATCCCCATCTAGTTTTAAGGAAAGCTGGAGCAGAGCCCCCCCCCTTCATTCTGGGGTTATTCGTGAGCAGAGTTTTACTGCTTGGTGCTTTGAAGCAATATCTTCCTTTCCCTGCTTTTTGAGCGGAAGCATAACAAATACTTGTAGACACAGCCCGACAGCATGATCCTGCTTTTCCCCAATAAGAGGGAAGGGGGAGCAAAGTCAGAAAGGAATTTCTATTTTCTCCAATCAATGATCAGATTCCCTCTGGAACTGAGCCTGGAAAAAATTATTTTTGACTGTAACTCCCCAAAAGAGTGGGGAACATCAACATTAATTTCTCACAAGTGTAAATGTACCATTACACAATAAGAACAACAATGGGGTAACAAGTTGATTCTGACTTACACTAACCAGGGTTTTCTGAGTTCAAAATACTCAGAAGTGGCTTACTGTTCTTTTCAGTAGGGTGGTGCCCTGGAACTGTGCAGCTTGCCCAAGGCTACACAGACTGGCACTTTTTCTTCAAGGGGAACTACCCATCTTTGGGTGCACAGACATTGCACCCAACTCACTGAGCTATCTACCCAAGCCACTAATGACAATGATGACTGTGTGCTGTCAAGTCAATTCTGATTTACGGTGACCCTTTTCAGAGTTTTCCATGTAGAGAATACCAAGAAGTGAGTTTACCATTGCCTTCTTTCCAGGTAGAGAATACCCAGAAGTGAGTTTACCATTGCCTTCTTCTGGAGGCGCCCTGGGACTGTGCAGCTTACCCAAGGCCACACAGGCTGGCTCTACTTCACGGGAGGCAGAGTGGGGAATCTAACACCCAACCTCTGATTCTGCAGTCAGATACTGAAACCACTGGGCTATCCAGCCAGCTCATACATATCATAAACAGAACACTCAGGTATTATATATTATGGCTTTCCAACAGTAAAGATAGATCATGCACACCAGCTTCTGAGAAAAGAAAAGAAACAAGTCATCTTGCACATGTTTAAATGGATTGTTGACCCTAATAAAAATATTGATTGTAGATTTTGAGTTGTTTCATCAGGTTCTGGTAATCTCATACGGTTTCTGCTGCTTTGTTTGCACATAGGGGAGGCAACAACATTGTTGTAACAGTCGATGCCCCTGATGCCTGTATCTAAACACAGTTCACTCCATCTACTGGGAAAACAGTGTTCAAATCACGGGGGAGGGAAAAACATTTGTTCTAGGCCCTTGCGAGGTTGCGATTTGGCTCCCGATGGAACGTTTTGCGGATTTCCCGAAGCTCCTTTTCCTTTTACCGCGGCGAGTCCCTCACAAAGAGAAAACAGGAGGAACCCTGCTGAGAGGGAGGACACGTGTCCCTTCTGTGGGTAAGAAGCTGCTCACCTATGGGAAGCCGAACAAATGAACCCAGCATACCTCTCAGACACCGACCCGTTGAACAGAAGGGTCATGAAACAAAAGTTGGACTCCCGCCCGCCCTGAGTGCGAAGGGACCCGCCTCTCCTCCTCTGCCCCCCCCTGCCCGCCGGCCTGCCCGCCTTCGTCCTCCTCCTCCTCCTCTCCCCTCTGTGGGGAAAGAGGGAGACGTCAGGCCGGAGCGGCGATTAGCAGGCGCTTTAAGTGGATGAGAAAGCGGCCAAGCTCAGGAGGAGCGAGCGGCAGAGGGAGCGTCGCAGGCAGGCGCCGCCGTTCCCGCCCCTCTCCGGCTTCAGCCTTGTCGCCGGGCGTCCTTCTCGCTCCCTGACCGGCTCGCCGGAGAAGAGGCGCCATGCCCCAGACGGTGGCTTTGACGGGCCCTTCGCCCTGGGGATTCCGGCTGGTGGGAGGCAAAGATTTCAGCACCCCGCTGACTATTTCCCGGGTAAGTCCGAGGGAAAGCACCCAGCGCCCGGGAGAGACGGGTCGGGACCTTGAGAAGCGCCTCAGGTGATGGAGGCAGGAAGGGGCTGCGCGGCGGCACCACCGCTCCTTGCGCCGGCTTGGGCACGGCATGAGGTCTATCAAGGAATTGTGGCGGGAGAAGGTGTGTGTGTGTGGGGGGGGAGGCAACAAGCAGCCCCTTTGCGCCCCTTCGGTGCGGATAGGTTCTCCGTGGAGCCGGTTAATCGAGAAGTGGGGGAGGGGTTGGAAGGGGCTCCCCCGTTGCCCCGCACCTCCGTTTCCCCCTCCCCCTCCTTTGCGCTCTTACGGTTGCAGCTTGGCCGAGGAAATCTGAGGCACCCCCCCCCCCCGCCGCCCTTCCCCGGGTCGTGGGGAAGGAGCGAACAAAAGAGCGAGGCGGCACTCCGGAGGCACCAGCCGCCCGCTCGCCCGCCCGCCCGGCACAGGCACCGGCTGCCTGCCTCAAGTTCGGCTGCAAACTTTCCGAGCCAATACAGCAGCCGGCGAAGCAGCCTCAGGAGGGCCGCCCGGGAAATCGCCGTCCGCGAGGGCAGGACGCTCGCTCCGCTGCTTCGGTTTCTAACGGAACATCCAGGACTCTCTCTCTCTCTCTCCCTCTCCCTCTCTTTGGGAGGGAAACTGCACTGGGAATGCTCTGAGCTGCGATCGGCATGAGTTAAACCGGGTAGCAGCTTCGCTGTTTTGGAGCCCAGTCTGGAAAAGAGGGTTTTTAAAAACAGAGGAGAAGGAGTTGCAGAAGGACTACGAAAAGGGGGGGGGGGAAGGTTCTGGTTTCGCACGACTCGGTTTAACTAGCGTGCCTGGTCCCATGAAAGCTGTCTGAAGGAGCCAGTGAAAAGTTTGCGTATAGTGGACCGACGGCAGGATGAGTCTCCCTCAGCAGTGAATGCACTGAGAGTGAATCGCCAGCCGAAGGCATAGCACTTCTGCCCTCTGGAGCATCATGTTCTCTACTATTATCCTTTTCTGTCTCACTGTTTCGGAGAATTGTGGGAGTAAAACAATTCAGGGCCGTGTTATTCTCGGGAATGACACTACAGTATTGAAGTTTATGGAATTATACAGGGGACAAGTTTAATTTGTTCTAACAGGCTCATTTTTTGCTCTTTTAAGGGAGCTTTTCTGAGAACTAGTGGGATTTCTGAGTAAATTTGTATTGGTGTTGAACGCTTAGTTTAAATTCACATTCCGAAATGTACTTCATAAGATGTATTTTAGAACTCGGTGGAATCTCTGAGAAACCTGTATAAGGCCAGCAAATTCTGGACTATATAGGATCATTCATACTGGACTATTACACGTAATTGTTAATGCATTGTTATATTGATGTGTGGGTATAAAGTGCATATAATGAATGAATACATAATTTGTCTACTGACAACAATACTTTATTTCCAGAAACCTTTCAGAAAAGGCATGTCTCTTCTGGGATGAAATGAGTGCAGGCAGTGATCCACCCAATAGTATTGTAACCTGCCTGTGTAACCTTCAGTCATTTTTGCCACCACGAACCCTCCAGTGACTGTGTGTGCATGACAATGGATAGCATAGACCTGTTCCTCTGGTTTTCCATTTGTCTTGCACACCATCCAACTTTAGTGACATTGAGTTAACTCCTAAACTGTGACGGTTATGTATATCTTTAGGATTGTGGTGTTTTGCTTTGGAGTTCCTCCTGTGAAATATTCATGTGTATCTGGCAATAAACACATGGTTTTGGGATTTCTGAGTTTCCTTATAGTAGAACTGGCATTTCTTTCTTTCTTTCTTTCTTTCTTTCTTTCTTTCTTTCTTTCTTTCTTTCTTTCTTTCTTTCTTTCTTTCTTTCTTTTGCTTTGAAGTAATGAAAAAGATGTCTTATGTATGCAAACAAATTACTGTATCTGCAACCGTTCAGCTGTGGATACCCATGTGTTTCATTAAGCAAAGTGGATATACCACTGGACCAGAGTTGGTGAAAAAACTGAGCCAGCTTTATCCAGGAGGCAATATGTTTTTGTCTTGGGGAATTTTTGAAATGCTTGTTCCGGAAAATACAGTTTCCTGTAACAGAGTGCACATATTTAGATACTCTAGAACAGCGGTCGTCAACCTTTTTCAGTCCGTGGACCAGCTGGGGAAGGTGGGGCACACACACCCCGCACACACTCGTGTGCATGTGCAAACAGTGGCATGGCACTTGGGGGTGGGGTGGGAGATCTGTTTTGGCGGCCCGGTCAGGCTCAGGCCACGGACTGGCACCAGGCCATGGACTGGGGGGGTTGGGGACCTCTGCTCTAGAACATTGTGAATGTTTCCCTGAAATCACAGCACAGATGTAATCATATGCATATTTACTTGGATGTTAAGTCCCATTGAACACATTTTGATGGGCTTGTGAGTAAATGTGTTTAGGTGCTGAACAAATGCTTCAAAGCATTTTTAAATTTTCAACTTGGATATGGATAGAGATCCCATTAAATCTGTGATTAAATGTAGTTTTCACCTTTCACTTTCACATCTACAGTACTAACGTGTTAGTCATGTACTGCTTTCATAGACCCACAAAATAAAACAGGAGGCAGCAGGGACAGTTTTACTTATGTGTCTGCCCTTTTCCTGGGGGGGAAGTTAGACCCCACTTTACTCTGCTACGTTATGTTGTTTCAAATGCTGTTCTCCCTAGTTAATTCCATTCTCTCCTGTGATTTCTCTGGGTTGTATTTTAGGATGCCTTCCTTGATCCTAGCTGTATGAAAGAGGCATCCAGTTAAAACAGAAAACAAGCAGATTTTGTGGGAAGTAATGATTCTGACAGCTTTTCCAGAAAAAAAAGTCAAAGGACATAGAGCAAAGGACAAAAATCTGAGGTGCAATACCTGGCTGACGTTGGAGTTCTCCACAGCTATTAAGAAAACAATGACAGAGTATGATTTGTGTTGCTGAGTCAGACTGCAGTTTATGTAGTTCGGTATTATATTTCCAGCAGTGGCCAGTTGGACACTTCTGGAATCCTACAAGTGGATGGGAGAATGATAAACATGTCCTATTGGTTGCCTCCTCTGTCTGTAGAGTTATACTGCTTTTGAACACAGAAACTGTCATAGTCATTGATGGGCATCTGCAATGGAACTGCTTTGATCTTATAGGAGCATGGCCACCTGAAGTGCCCAATATGAGATCAGTTTATTCCAGTCCTTAAGTATTATCAACTTGAAGCAAACCTGTTGAGTTCAATGTTGAGGGAAGAAGATAATACATTTGAGAATGCTGAGGATTGGATCTTTCAGCTGAAAGGAATCGATGTGGGCTCTCGACTCTGATCTAGCAAGAGGGAAAACGTAAAGCATGAGGGAGTTTCTCAGAGCAAGAAGTGGTATCTTATTTGTCACCTCTCCTTATCACATAGAAAGCTGTACATCTCTGGAAGGCAGAAGTAAGTTACGTGTGATAGGACCAATAGTGGCTGGTGCCAAACACAGCTGAGGCTAAGAACTGCATGTTATGGAAAAGTGTGCAATGCTCCAGATTAGAGATGGGCATGAACCAGCAGTTCGGCAGAGTTCATTTCCCGGCCAAACAGCTGATCTGTAATTTGATACCTTGCCCCTTCCGATGGACACCCACTTGGTGGCAACGCCCCATCCTGCCTCCTCCAGGTGCTGCCTCTGAGTGGGCACCTGTTGGAGGAGGCAAGGCACTGAACCGCAGGATCAGCTGTTTGGCCAGGGAATGAACTGTGCTCAGCTGCCAAACCAGCAGTTCATGCCCACTTCTACTCCAGATCACACCATTTTTAAAAGGTTTTACCTGCTCACCATCAGGATTTGCCAGATCTATTAAACTAGCAAGAAGCATGGAAGAAACGTCCTGGGAATTTGGAAAATGACAAGGTACTGACTTTTTTTGGACAGTTTTATGGATTTGGAGCCTTTTCCAAAGGTGTAAAAAGAGCCTGAACAGATCTTGACAACTTTTTTATGGGCTGTAGTGGCCTACTGCTTAATTACTGTCTCCACATGCATGGTGTAAGTGACATTTTACCAAAAAATATGTCAAGCAGTATGGTATGCAAAACAAGTACCTTTTAGAAACATTTTGGAGATCTGTGTGCATATTTTTTTTCTTGCAGATTATAAGAAATCAAGTTGCTTAACATTTCTTGTTCTTCTTGAAACAAAAAGGAAGTGGAATGTGACAGTCTCAGTTGACCTGCTGTGAGACTATATTTTCTGAAGCAGCACTTTGAAATCATGTTCTTGTAAAGGGAATTTCAGGCACAGAAAGAAGATGGTATTGCACATGATGTATGCAACAGACTTGTTAATACAAAGCTAACCTTGCTATAATTTAACCCAACTCTTGTTAGCAGTTAAAGAACAGTGCTGGATTTTGGCTTTCAAACAATTTGACTCTGGAAGTGCTTCCATCTATAATTATAACCCCTTTGGTCTTTTATAAAATTTTACTTTGAGTCCTTCTCCAACAAGAAGGAAAATGTCTGAAAAGCTACAGTGAAGTCTTCAATCCTATAATATTTTCTTGAAAGTAAGTCCCAATAAACTCAGTTGGGAGTGTATAAGATTGTACTGTACATGTCCTAATACAGTATATTTTCCTCATAGAAGCATTTACTGCGCAAGCGCAGTGAGAATATTTGATTCTAAATTCAAAAAGAAGATGCTCCTACATTAAACTGTGACATGTCTTCTTCTGGTTTCTCTGAATAATGTATATGCAAGAATCCTGGAGCAGAATGTACATGAACAAAAACACCGAGCTAAAAAATATGGAGGGGTAAATTAGATAATCAGTGCTGTTTGAAATGCTGTCATGAAGACATAGTATGAAATTTTCTCTGTTTGATTTCTCCATTTAATATTAAAACATGCTTTAGCTTATTTTGGCATAAAAATAGCAAAGTCTCTGAAGTAGATTAGCATACATGATCCTGCCCTACTTGGAACATTCCACTTTGAT